CTGGACAGCATACCCTGAATCTTTCCCAGCCTTAGGCTCTTCTCCAGTGAGTCCTTCCTTCTCATTAGGTGGCCAAAGTCTTTGAGTTTCATCTTCAGGATCTGGCCTGAAGCAGTCAGGGTTGATCTCCTCTAGGACTGACCGGTTTGATCGCCTTGCAGTCCAAGGGACTCGCAGGAGTCTTCTCCAGCACCAGAGTTCAAAGGCCTCCATTCTTTGGCGCTCGGCCTTCCTTATGGTCCAACTTTCACAGCCCTACATTGCAACTGGGAAAACCATAGCCTTGACTATACACACTTTTGTTGACAGAGTGATGTCTCTGCTTTTTAGTATGCTGTCTAGATTTGCCATAGCTTTCCTATAAACTAAAAGCAAATCACATTAAGCAAATCACGTTTCGGTTGGACAGCAAATTGCACTTTTTACTAGTACTGATGATGTTACCTAGTTTGATAATGAAACGTCTGCAAGAAAATAAGCAAGTTGAGAGAGCGCCAAGGATCCCTCATTTCGACCCTAAGCTCCAAATACGCTCCTTTATTGGTACATTTGGATTTATTGCAATGAGTGACTCAAACCAAACTTCTGATCCTTAAACCTTGGTTATGATTCTTCTTGTGGTTATTAATACTCGGTGTCATTAAGTCTGATGGCTTTAATTTTAACCAGTCTGGGCTGAAGAACCACAAGGGACTGGCTTCCTTACCCTAAGGCAGGGATGGATATAAATTTGAGTGAATAGGTTTTACTGTTGGGGGAGGGGGGAGAAATCATTGGGAGGAGTGGTGATCCAAGATGGGTGGGTGGGATTATCACCAAAGTGATCAGGGCTGGGATCCTCATATCTTTCCCTGTTACTTGGAAGGGAAATCTTGGCTTTTCAAAAAAATTTCTGTTGGCAATTTTGATACTGAACAGCAGAAAACCCAGACTATTAAATAGCAGAAAAAAACAAACTATAAATTTTTGACGGAGATTGCTCATGCCTGGCATTAAATGGGCATGATAATGAGAGTTCGTATTACATTAACTTCAATTCAACAAACCATATTAGTTGGGAGATAATGTGGGGCCAGGAAGAGGCATCGTAAAGCTGTTCGTCTGGATAATTTTGGTGGCCAAGATTCTCAGCCCCTTCAAAATTAGGGCATGACAGAGATGCAGGAGAGATGTATCCTGTTTCCCCCAAAATAAAACCTACCCTGAAGTAAGTTCTAGCTTGATTTTTACCAGTGAGCCCAATAAAAGCTCTAATTAGGAATCCACCCACTCCAGAGTACACGGGTAAAAATTAAGCTAAGGTGGGGGGATAGAAGGGTGGAGCTGCCCTACTACTCACCTTTGGACAGTTGTAGCCAGGCCTCGCACACCCTGACACCTGCCTTGCTGTCTCATTTCTTCTTCAGCTGGCAAGGCATGGCTTTCCTGAAGGCCTCTGGAGCTGATAACAAAGCTCTGGATCGATCCAGAGCTCTGTTATTGGTTGCAGAGGCCTTCAGGAAACCCTTGCTGGCCGCAGAAGAAGAAGTTCGCCTCTGACAGTGAAAAGGAGGCTGGGGCGATGGGCACAAGTGAGGCTAGTCAGTGGATGACTTCCCCTGAAAATAAGACCTGGTGACTTTTTGGTGGCAAAAAAATATATATACAACATTTAGAATTGAGTTGGACAAAGGGCCTCCAGATCTGGTATGTGTGCCATGGCTGTACTTCGTTGGCATAACAATTTAGGCCCTGTAAGATTTTCACAACAGTTCGTTTCTCCACTTACGATCGCAATAAACACAGTAGTCCTCGACTTACAACAGTTCATGTAGCGACCTTCAAAGTTACAACGGCACTGGAAAAAGGGACTTGTGACCATTTTTCACACTTAGGGCCATTGTAGCATTCCCAGGGTCCTGTGATTTACAGTCAGATGCTTGACAACTTTATGACGCTTGCAGTGTCTAGGAATCAAGTGATTCCCTTTGGCGACCTTCTTCTCAAGCAAAGTCAGTGTGGAAGCCAGATTCACTTAACGGTGTTACTAATTTAACAGCTGCAGCCATTCGCTTAACAACGGTGGCAAGACGAGTTGCAAAATGGGGCAAAACTCACTTCACAAATGTCCCATTTAGCAACATCAATCTTGGGCTCCCTAGCGGTCGTAAGTCAAGAACTACCTATACTGGAAAATTCAGCATTAAGCAGCGCGGTAGTTAAGAGAGGCATCACAAGACGATGCTCAATTTTGCAACCTTTTTGCTGCAGTCATTAAATGAACCACACAGTTCCCACAGTTGACTTTGTTTGCCAGAAGGCAGCTGGGAAGGCTGCAAATGGTGATCGCAGGACCCCAGGACACTGCAACCATTGTAGACACAACGCTGGTTGACAAGCAGCCAAATTTTGATCACGTTACCATTGGGAGGTTGCGATGGTCATAAGTGTGAGGTTTGGTCGTATGTTACTTTTTCCCAGCACAGTCATAACTGCAGACAGATTCCTTGCACAGTGTAGCCAGAGAGGAAAGAAGCTAGAAACTGGGGTTCATGAATCCCCATAGAATTCATTGTCCCATCTTGCGGGTTCAAAAGATTTCACCTCCTTTTTACATCAGCTTCTGAGCAACCCACATTGGGGACTTAGCAAAATCTATTTTCATGCTTACAGTTCTGGAATGAGCTTCAGTGGGGCTGCCAATTCTTGGAATCTGGCATCGGATGATCCTGAAAATCATCTGAGCAGGAAGGAGATGCAGAGTGTGTGCGTCTGTGTGTGTGTGTGTGTGTGAGAGAGAGAGAGAGAGAGAGGAAGAGGGAAGGAGGGGGGAGGAGGGAGAGAGAGGAAGGAGAGAGAAGGAGGGAGGGAGAGAGAGAGAGAGAGAGAGACTACTATAGGTAGTCCTCAACTTACAACAGTTCATTTCATGACTGTCCAAAGTTACAATGGCACTGGAAAAAATGGCACTTTTTTCATACTTACAAACATTACAGTATCCCCATGGTCACATGATAAAATTCAGATGCTTGGCAACCGACTCATATTTATGACGGCTACAGTGTCCCATGGGTCACATGATCCCCTTCTGGGGAAGCCAGATTCGCTTAACAACCATCTTACTAACTTAACAGCTGCAGTGATTCACTGAGCAACTGTGGCAAGAAAAGTTGTAACATGGGGCAAAATTCACTTAACCAAGTGTTTCCCTTAGCAACAGAAATGTTGGGCTCAACTGTGGTCATAAGTTGAGGACATTTCCTCGGGGAGTGGCCAATCCAGTCAGTGCTCACAGCCATGTCGGATCCCCAAGTAAGAACACGTGGCACATTTTCCATCCTTACAGTCCTGCCAATTCCACACACACACACACACATCCCCTGTTTCTCTGCCTTTAACTCCAGCGAGACCTTCGGATTGTAGCCTGGGAGGATCCCATGGATATAAAGGCACCCAAGAAAATCCACCTCCATCCATTGGCAGAAGTTAAAACGGTTTTGGGGAGCCACGTAGGCTGGTGGGCCCAGAGATGCTTCTGCCTACATTTGTGAAAAAAATATCTGAATGGTGGAGCAGAAGTGGGCCATTTCCTGCCATGGATGCGCTGAAGAATCTCTTTCCATCTTCCAGCGCACCAGTTATTTAATTAGAATTCTTGGTCTTAAAATAACAAGCTGGCCAGTTATCAGCACACAAGCACACATACTGGCAGGAAAGGCGAGAGCAGGAGGAGGAGGAGGAGGAGGAGGAGGAGGAAGAGAGGGCGATATTTTTAGGACTGCTTTTCTATCTACTGTACGTCTTCCAAACTACGGATTTTGAAAATGTTCTAACCATTTTAATGGCTGGCATAATCTTCCGTTTGAAAATGTGTGTGCCTTCTTTAAAGTTGATTAAGAGGTGCTTAATAGTCAAGATTATATGTTTTTTTTAAAAAAAATTAAGATTATCATATATAAAATACAAAGAAAAATAGATAATTGGGGAAAGGGAAAAGAAAAGAAAAGAAAAGAGATAGGAGGAAGGTGGAGAGGAAACATTAACTCCCACTACAAGTAGTCCTCAACTTACAACCACAATTGAGCCCAAAATGTATGTTGTTAAGTGAGCTGGTTGTTAAGTGAATTTTGCCCCATTTTGCGACCTTTCTTGCCACAGTTGATAAGTGAATCAGTGCAGGAGATAAGCTAGTAACCCAGCTGTTAAATGAATCTGGCATACCCACTGACTTTCCTTGTCACAAGGTCACAAAAAGGAATCAATCACATGATCTTGGGATAGAGCAACGGTCATAAATATGAACCAAGCATGTGAATTTTGATCACATGACCAGGGGATGCTGGAAAGGTGGTAACTGCAA